TCAAGTCTAACTTCTCCTTCAACCTTGCTAAAGGCTGTAGCCGTGAGATTTATCAAATGAATGTTATTTATCTGGACTTTATAAGAAACAGTTCCCTTACTGTGTACCAGATGAGTTACAGGTGCTTAAAAATGCTCCAGGTAATAATACCTCTATTCACAAGATCAAGGAAGCAGTCTTCACACAAGCAGGGTCCAAAAAGAAGGGACCTTTTCAGAACTGGGTGTCTTATTTTATTGATAAACCCACGCAGATACTAGTCCGGAATGTGCCCATTAGCAGTTAACAGCAGCAGCTTCGTTATTTCTGCTCTGTCTCGTTTTTGTTTTTTAAGCATACCTGCACTTATGTCTAGGCCATAAAGCAGATTTTCAGGTTAGTGGCAAGTTTGGACCAGTGTCAACACATTTTTTTTTTTTCTCTTTTTTACTGCTTTCATATTTACTACGCTTGAGTACATGAAGGTCTTCACAGCTGGTCAAGAGAGCACAGCGGTGTTCAGTTTGTGTTCTGTGGGTAGTGCTGTGAAGTGGTTAGAATTAAATGTGAGAGGCAGTAAGGTTACAGGCAAAGAAAAAATGTGGTATGTACCATCATATTTCTGAATAGAGGATATTACTTGGTGAGTCAGAGGCTTCAATGCCATGTTCCATGTGTTGGGTGACTCATGTTCCAGGGTGCTCTGTACCATTGAAAGATCTGCTAATAGAAGGTGCTTCGGTTAAGGTGACTCCAATGTTATTCATGTTTAAAAATAAATAAATGAATACAAATAGCAGGGGCATTAGGATGGAATGCATATTCAGAAATGAATAGTTTTTTGATATATTATATTTACATTATATTATAGTTTATTACATTTACATTATATTATATTTTTCACTTGTGGTTAAACAGTCTCTTTTACAGCATCATTGCTTATATTTTGCCTATACATAGACGTTCCCAGCATGGATCAGGGTCCTGTTGTAACCGATATCATAAAAACAGCTAAGAAAAATCAAGAACTTCAGTCTTGTGTTTCTAGGCTACCTTTATATGGTCCTGACAACCCCAGCCTTGTGGTGAGTTTTCTACTGATACTAGATGAAATCTTTTTGAAGGGAAGAAGTCTGTTGGAGGGAAGCTAGTAGGCAGTTACTGCCTTTGGTTGGTTGGGGTTAAGTGCACAGACCTGGTTCAGTTGTGTTTAATGCTCCTTTGTGCGTGTGTGTTAGATGATCAGGTAGTTAAGTATGGAAGACTGAGCCACGGTTATTGCACCACTTTGAACAAATACTTCCAGACTTTCAGACTGAACTATAAAGGGTTCCGACTCTTCAATCTAAAATCCATCAAATCTGTTTAATGAAAAAATATGGTAGCAAGGCAGTACTTTTGTGCAATTTTACACCTTCTGTCTCAAATTAAAATATTTGGAGCTGTGGTGTCTGTTCTTAAATCCCCACCCCCACCAGTAATTTTGCTCATATGTTATCCATAAATCTTGCCTGTTTTAAATGTTCCAGCTAATAGTTAGGCAAAATGTTTAGCATAATGATATGATTAACAGAGTCCATTTTTTTGGCAGCCTGGGTGCTGTTTTTCTTAAGCAAGCATTGCAGTTTATCCTGATTAGAGATATGAAGGAATTATTCCTCCTCTTGGAGGTTTTTTCTTTTTTTTTTTTTTTTTTTTTTAATATGAGGATTTAGGGGTTCTGCATTCATTTTGCAGGAATATAATGTGTGATTTGGCTGGATCTTTGAAGTGGTAATATTATAAATCTCCCAATCACCATTGCCCAATCTGTTTTAGCATTCATGTGCCTAATTTCTGTTTGTAATCTGATTACTGGCTTGAGCTGCTCCAGCTTGCAGCCTATTGCTATGCATTTACTGTACTCCCTGGGACGCGATAGCCTGACAGCTCCAGTCCTGTGCTATGAAAAATCTCTACACGATATTGCTAAGACAGGCCTAGGGCTGTGGCTGGTTGAGAATTAGCTGCTATTGTAGTTTCTCTTTGCTGAATCCTTTGTTTGTGCAACCATGTTCAGAAATCCTTGGATCTCCAGCTATTTGGGAAATGTTAAATACTCTGAGGAGCAAGGTAAGAGTTCCACGTAGATAGAAGAAAATGCAGTTCATTTGTGTGTGTTTAATTTCTCTTGTATATATGTATGCATGTGTAGATATTGTTTGACTAGATCTTCTGCAGCTACATTAGCTACTTTAGCAATCAGTATACAGTTAGTCACCTAGGCTATTTCATTATTTCCTAAAGGACACTTTTGAAAGATCCGATTAGATGGATCTTTTAATTAGCTTAGCTTGCCACCGACTTAGGGCCTTTAAATATACTAAGTAATGCTGGAAGGTTGCATCAACTTTTTTTTTTTTAAATGCAGCATTTTTTCTTTCCTATGTATTAAACTATGTCTAGTGGTTTTATCGGGTAGTTTGTACCTAAGAGGGAGGGGGACTAGACAGAACAACAAATGGTTAAACTTGTGAGCAAGTTTGATTTACACTCCAGTAAATATACTCTTAATTTTAAATACAAATATTTAAAATTGTTTTAATGTGGTTATGAGCATGTTTATAATTCTTCAGTGAAAAAAGGAACAAAATGCCATTGCAAATATTTTCCTTCTGTGTATCAGGTACTGTGGGGGTGGGTTTTTTCTTTACATTAACCATTGCATTAAGACTATGTTAAACTGATGTTTCTCTTGTGGTTGTGTTTATTTTCCTTTGAAGCAGAGTTGTTTTACTTTTTCTCCTGTGTTTGTATTTAATTTTAAGACTTCCATATTGTAGTAAGTAAGTTTTATTGGACTTTAATCCTCCCACATAGGGTTTAATTCGAACAGGAGGAAATACATAAAATGTAAAAACTGTATAAAAGAATGTAATTGTCTGGTTAGGTTTTCTGTGTTGGGGGGGAGTAAGAGAGGAGCTTGCCCCTCTGAAATACAGCAAAATTTTAAGATGTGTTTGAGTCATTATAGATGTGGTATGTATGAATGTTACTGAATGTGTTTAGTGGGTAGCAAGAGTCAGACCGGCTTGTGTGCCCCCTCTTCGCAGCCCTTTTCCCTCCCTTCTCCCAGCGAAGCAATGAAAGCTATTTTCTTCCCTTCTCGTATCCCCTCTCCAGTTTTGGCTAGGGTAGGGAGAATTTCTCTGTGGTTTACTTGTGGTTTTCATGGTGGACAGCTGGCTTAGTGCCAAATGGGTTATGTCCCGTTAGAACAGCCATAAATTTAAGATATGCCTGGTTCTGATTAGCTAAGCTGATACTGAGCTGGGCTTTTTAAGTTACTGCATACTCTTCTCACATTAATGCAAATCTGGCCTTTTTAGAGGATACTTATGGCATGGAGTATTCTTTTTAATGTTGTAGTGTAAAATATAATGATTTATATACTGTTCATACTGTTTTTCTTACAACACTGTTTTGGTCTAACAAGATGTTTCTGTGTAATCTGTGTGCTTTATTCTCCATTTACTTGGAAAGACAAAATGAATGTTAACAAAAACAGGAAAAAGTTGCCTATTAAAGTTGAAGAATGCTATTAGCAAAGCTGCTTGAAATCTGCAGTGACTTGTAGCACATGCCTAAAAAGTGCCTTTTTGCACATTTTAAGCCTCTTTGTCAAGCTGTTAAAATGATCTTTTTGCTTTTACTTTTTTTTTTTTTTTAAATGTGTTTACCTGGAGTTTTGAAAGGCATAGACAAAAGATACATTCTCTAAATTAAGACCCATTTTGTCAGCAATAACAAGTTTCATTAGACCCTTTCTGCAAAAAATAAGTAACATTGTACCTAGATTTTAAAGTATTTTGATTAAGCAAAAAATATTTTTTTCCAGTCAATTCTTCTTTGAAATAGTTAAATCTCAGTACTAAGGTAGAGTAGAAGGGATGTTGCTGCTTTTGAGACGTGCTAAAGTCTAGGTTGTGTAATATTCAGGTCTGTCTTTGAACATAAAATGAACACTGCGTCAGTGACCAATTGTTCATTAATTTAGGGTCTTGGGATAGTTGACTTAATACAGATGGGATGGAAGGCAATTTTCCCACTGGGAGTAAATTATTAGTAACTTCATGTGTTTTTCAGTAGCAGTCACAGACCAGGTCCTCCCCTGCACCCTGGCTAAGCAGTTCTCCAAGGTCTCTTCATAGCATCCTTGTTGTTGAATGGAGGCAGCCAGTACTTGGAGCACTGGTCCCCCTTGCCACTGGTCATTGTTTAGACCCTCTGACGATGCTCTTGACTGCAGAAATTAAAAAAGTTAAATTGGCAGGGAGAGAGGGGAGATTGCCCATTGCTTATTACGGTTCACAAAGGTTTGGGAACTAGTGGGTTTGTAATATGTACTTTTTTGAATATAAGGCTGCATCTGACAGTTTTGCTCTCAATGTAAACACATCTTCCTCTATGAAAGTAAGCATGTTCTTAGGCTATTCAGAAAAAAATGGGAGCTTCCAAACAGTAGACAACCTTCAGAAATCTTTCTGTCATGGATGGTGTAATACTGTTGTTGCAACAGATTCTCAGCTGGGCATCTCTGACTTCTGCAGTGAATATGCAGTTTTTATAGTATTGCTAGGCTGCAGCCAAAAAGGCTCTTGCTGCTTGCAGCATTTCTCATTTGCAGAGTGCTTCATAAACATGTCTACTGCCCGTTTTGTAAGCTGGGAAACTGAGTCAAGGAGTTTAAATGATAGCCCCAGGCTGCAGTGCTACACCTGAATACTGGGATTAGAACATGGCAGTTCCATAAAGTGTGGACACTTTTGGGTTGTTTTACTGTCCGTACTCATTTTTGCAGGGCATTGGTTTATCACCATCTTGGACATGCCAGTTTATGCTCCTTTGACTAGAGGGAAGGCCTTTGCACAGTTTTTTCCAGTGGAAAAGCACTATGATTGCAGACTATAACCTAGTTTTGTAAAAGTTCCCCATTTATTAAAGCCTCTTCACTATGGTGTGTTTTTTTTTTTTCATTTCACAGATTTTGACAAGAAAACACAGTCAGATTTAAATCTTCACGATTGCTGCAAAGGAAGAGAGCATTAAGGTAAGGTCAAGGATTTTTTTCCCAGGGAAGACGACTAGTTGCACAATTGTAACTTGCAGTCATTACTTGTTTATTCTTTTGTCAGGGAAAATGAGTATTGGTCCTCTCGCAGGACCAAGCTTTGGCATAAAGCAGATGCTCTGAGCATGTATTGAAAACACCAACTGCCTCCAATGTGAAAATTTATAGCTGGCATTGCTAAGAGAAGAGTCCCACTCTGCACCAAGCCTCCTGCTACTGCAATACCTGTTTTTCCTTGCATGGCACGGACACAGTACAGACATTTAGTGAACCAGCTTGGAAAACTGATCTGTCTGAAAAACAAAGTGGCTGAAGTGGGTGAATTAATTATACAGCTGTGCAGAGAGCTTTGTCAGCACATGGGAGGGGGACACCACAGAGATGAATGGAGAGGTGACGTTGCTGCTTCCTTGCAGGGCCATGCTGCCTCGTGTCTATAGTCTTAGGGCACGGTTCCACAAGGCTGAGTAAGGGGAAGTGTCCAAGGCCAGGCTGGATGGGGCTTTGGGCAACCTGGTCTAGTGGAGGATGTCCCTACCCCTTGCAGAAGGGTTGGAACTCGATGATCTTTGAGGTCCTTTCCAACCCAAACCATTCCATGATTCTGTGATACAGTTCAGAGTTAAGCAAGGTGGCAGGTCATGTTTCCTCTCCCCATCCTCACTCTGACTGCTTTTTGGTGTCCACCTTTGTGTTTGCTGGACTCATTCATATGGCACTGAGGGGAGATCAGGGAGCTGGGAACCGACTCTTGCCCCAGCAACCAGCTGTTGGAGTCCTGCACAGTAGCACAGGAGTCCACCAGCCTTAGGCACCGAGACTCATATTTGCAAGCATCTTTTCAGTCAACACGCCTTTTGGAGCGCACCTCATTCCCTGCCACGTTGTGTCTTAGGTGCTGTAGAGAGATGGAGGGAATAGCTGTACAAGATGTATTGTGTTATGGAAGGCAGGTAGGGGAAAGTAGAAATGAGAGTAGTGGAGAAGATGTGACTGTAGAATGGACCTTTTACGTAAGAGTCCAGAGAAGGAAATTCTCCTGGAGGTAGAGAAAGAGAAGAAAAATGAATGCCAAGCACCTATCTGGCAGGTATACAAGTGGATTTTCATGCTTGTATTTCAACCACAAAATCCCAGTATATCCCATAGCTTTAATCCAGATGGCAGGGCGGTGTTGCCAGTGGCATTTGGATCAAACTTCTGCTTGCTTTTGGGCATGTAACTAGGTTAGTGGGCCAGCTATTTAGAAACTGTGTGCTGCTGCTGCAGCAGCAGCAGTTTTCAGCCTGGAATCCCTGATGCATAGAAGCAGCCCACACTTACTTTGGTACTGCAAGAGCAGTATAACTACTGGGGCTGTCAAATACTCTACTAATACCACATTTTACATTGTTTTTAAAGAAAAACTATTGAGGTTGTGAAATATTGTTGCCTGTGTTTTAATAGAAATCATATGAATTCCTGAACATTGAAGAGTATAATGAGTTTGTTGGGAACCTGAGGCCAAACCACACACAAACCCTATGTGAAACAAAATTGTGGGACCTCACGCTGTTGACTGCATTTCATTTTCAGGAAGACAAAGGAGGAGAAGTTCCTCTTTCAGTACCCAGATTTAACAGGCACTTTAAGAAGAAAGAATTCTTGCAAACTTGTGAATTTTTTTCTTTTTTCATATAGAGAAACCCAAGTATGCCTTAAATTATTTTAATAATGAATGTGTATCGCCTAGCTGTGAAGTGCAGAAACTCCTGGTGCTGCTGCTCAGAATCTGCACCTAGATTTACAGCATGACTTGAGAAATTAAGCAAGGATGAGTAGATGTACATGTGATACTTCTAGAAAAGGGTTGCAGATGAGTTTGAAAGTACAGTATACTTTGTAATCCAAGTCTGACTATCTGACTGCTTAAGCAACTAAGTTGTTGCTGCAACTGCTCCTTTAGCAGAGAAGCTAATAAAGCAGGGATACATCTGGATAGATCCCTTTGAGGAAAAAGGGAAGTCTTGGTGAGGAATTACTTACGAGCTTTTTTTTTTTTAAACCCTATGAGTAGTGTCTTGTAATATTTTTTTTTTATTATTATTACTTGGAATTGCTTTAACATCATTCCGACTCAATTTAGATTCCTAATGACTGTTCTTGTTGAGTACTGTGATATGTCCTAAATATGCCTACTTTCATATTTAGAACTAATTTTATATATGTATCTATAAATACCCAATTGTTTGGCTTGACTGTATCATCTTCAGAGCAGTGCTTTGCCTCTGAATTCTCTGTGCAAGTTAAAGCAATGTAATTGATACATTGGTTTAAAAGATTTTGTGTTTCTAATGTGCAAATATTTAAAACAGGCATTGCCACCTGCAGCTTTGCAAGAGAGAGCAAAAATGCCTCTGAAAAGGAAAAACTCCTCCATTGTTGATAAGATAGTCAGTGTATGAAACTAGTTAATCATTTAAAAATAACCAAGTAAGTAATAGTTGACAGTCTGTCCAGGAGGAAATGGAAAATGAAGTCCTAAGGGAAACTGTGAAGGGACTTTCACAAAGCAGATAACCTGTGATGCTATGTAGCCCAGCGAGGGTTACACTTAAGAAGTTTGTGGTTATTAGAAGAATTTTAATGAAATCTGCCAGTGAGCAAAGGTTGGAAGCCACCCTCAGTACAAAGGAGGAGGGAGCTCACAGGAAGAACTGGATGACCTTGAGGAGTAATAGAAAAGGGATGTAATGTAATAATACTAAGTGCACAGTTGTGCATTGGGGGCTGATAAATTTTTCTGTCACTTGCAGCTGATGGAAGCAAAGCCTTGGCATATTAGTTTCTCATGCGAGATTGAGCAACCAATATAGTGTAGTTATAAAAAGGCAAATGTGTTGTAGATCCCAGCATTCATCTGGCTAGTCCTATAATAATGCCTTCTCTATTAAAATTCCTATTTTTATAAGACACTGCTAAGACCAAGGTCTGGGATCAAGACTATCCAATTCTGGTCACCGTATACAAAAAAGATGACTTAAAACTGGAACAGGTAGAGAACATGTCTTGAGCAAGCTGAGTAGATGTGGAAAACTTCTAGTAAGAGAAACAAGCAATGTAACCAACAATACTGGCATGAGAACAAATGGGTGGAAACCCAGTGAAAGATATTTACACTCAGTTTGGAGGGTCTCTGGCTTCCGAGTCCCTGGGAGTCCCTGGAGTTTGGAGAAAGGGGCAGGAGTGAACCTAACTAGTTTACAGTATTTACAAGTTTATTGAGGATCCACAAGCAATCCAATAATACAGTTCTTTTTAGAACCAGCAGGCTAGTGCCAGTCCTGATTCTGTATGATTTTACCCTTGGAAATTAGTGTGGTACTGAGGTATAGCTGTGGATGTTAGTGCACAGTTGATTTAAACAAGGATTTTGCTGCATGAGTCCCATGTTTATGGAAACTTCAGGTGCTGTACTGTCGCAAGCATTATGGAAGTAATTGGAGATGCTGCTAAATAAAGCACAGGTATTCAGAAGTCATGAGCTGAGTCCCTCACACTTTTGAGACAAGTCTTAAGTAATTAAATTGATCTGACAAAATCAATTTTGGGATTTATTTATAGTCTTAGGCCAATATTATTCACATTTTTCAAATTCATCCTCAGCTAAAAGGAGTAGAAACTGCTTTCAAATGGAAACTGGGAGTCTCTCCACCTAGGAGTTCTCCAGAAGCTGTGTCTGTAAGAACATAACATATTGTGAGGCTAATGAAAATCATGAGTGTTTGCAATGTGGGGTTAGGCATATAGAAACATGCAGTTAACTGTCTGAGTCTCTGCCCAGTCACAGATGACACACACACCCATTTGCTGCTGTGTGCTATTTTTTTATTTTATTTTGTTTTCTGTTTTGTTCCATGAGAGTGTTTTCACCCTGTAAGGCTACACAGTTTTCTGTAATGGACGGCTTATTGCAGCTCTTCATCTTCTATTTGCTATTTTCTGTAGCGACTAACATTGCTTGTCTTGGCGGTACCTGGAATAATTTCTGTAAGTGCAGTTGTTGGAGACAATTTGCAGCAGGTGGCATGGTGCCTGAATGTGACACAGCCCAGTTTCTTTATTGTCGTTTCAAGGGTTTTATTCTCTTCTCAATGTCTTCTTACGAAGCAATATTATTTATAAATGATAAAGAAGCAAATACTTCTTGGAGTTCATGTAAAATGTTATTAGTCATTATATGTTAAAACTCTCTTCAATAAGAAACATTCTTCTGGAATAGTGAGGAGAGAATTTTTTTTTTTTACTATTTTCTCTTCTTTAACCAAATACCTTTGATGAAATGGTATTCAATTCTTTAAAAAGCCATTAAAAAACTGTCCTAAGGAAGGATTTTCCAACAGTAAGGCTGTGCAATTTGTCTTATCAGAATGACAGTAAATCATATGGCACATCATTACCATGGCAAAATGAAGAGCCCAGGATCACGGTGGAGATTAGTATCTGTTGTTACACCTGTCTACACAGTTTGCTAAAGTTTTTAAGACTAGTATAAGTGTTCTTATGCCTGGTTGGGATAGTATAGAAGTCATAATGGCAGAATACAGCAGTTCTCTCTCTTTTTTTAATAATTGGAGAGAAAAATCTCACTTTGTTTACCCACAAGGAGGAACACTTCCTCCAAAAAGTCTCTGTAGACAGTATCTACTTTAGACCATTGACACCTAAGTTTTACATTTAAAATTTGTATGTGTAATGAACATATTTAAAGAAATATTTTGTCTCACCTAAATGGGCATTTTTGCTGTTTTGAAAAGTCAAAGCATAAAACTAAATGATCTGCTGCTCATATTAATGTATTATAAGCCATATAAGATCCAGAGATCAGTGCAGTAACAACAATAGGGCAGTTGTGCAGAAGGCTTCTAGGTGGAGTGTACATACAGTACTGCATTTGATGAAATATGTTTTAGTATTCATGGAGAATAATTCAATATATATTATTCCTAATGTAATTGCTAGTAGAGCATTTTGAAGGCAGTCTCCGGTCAGTAATTTAATGCAAAAATGTGTCACAGTCAGTTCCAAACAAGTTTCAAATTATGTTAGGTTTGGCTTTGTGAGTTTCTTGGGGTTATTTCTTATTTCATTCTTATGGAAAAATATTTTCTTTGGTATCTCTGTTAGACTATCTTGCGGTAAATGGGTTACATCTTGGCTTTATTTGACTTGTAGCAGAAACATCCACAGTTCTGTAAACCAGATGTTGCTTTCAGTTTTCAGAAGGAGTTCTCATTTGAAGATAAAGAAGAATTTGCAAACAGCACAAAGGATATTGATGCTAATCTCTTAGCAGTCCTTCCAAAAGGTAAGTAAGGGAGACACATTATGAACACAAATGATAATTTAACAGCATGTGAAGTTTAGTCTATGCAAGTGCAAGGCACAGTTAAAATCACTTAGACACGGATGTTTTGTAAATGAGTTTTCTTTTCCCTGTGAAGTATGCATGGGTGATGAAACAGGGTGAACCACAATGCTCTTTTACAAGGCCTTGTTACACTCCTGCTTCATAAAGTTCAGCTTTGTTTACCTAGTTCTCAGTAGGTTAAGCAGCAGTTGAAATGTGAAACTTCAGAGAGGTTTCTTTGTGCAGTTAGATTAATACTGAATTCCAAGGTATTAATTTGGCCTGTAGTCATAGCTCTTTGCAGTCCCCTTCGGTGGTTGGTAGAATCATTGTGCTTGCATGACCAACTGACTACACACTGAATTTTAGTCTTGCATGCTAAAGGACCTGCAGTACATATGGGGTTTGCGATTAATGTTTTTTTAAACTTCTATCTTAGTCTGAATAACTTAGGAAGGAAACAGCAGTTCCATCTTTATCTTTTGAGACAATTGAGGTAGAGGTGAGAATTAATTCTCTTGAATTACTTAGAGGAATATCACAATCTGCTTGGAAATAGTTCTTGACCTGTAAAGGGTGACATTTGACTGAAGAACTACGTGTAACTGGCATAAAGATGTTCCCTTCACTCAAGGATGTTGTGGATCTCAGAACTTCAATTAAAATGGGGTGTGTTCTGATGGTATTTTTACCCTTTTCAAACAAACTACAAGGCTAGATGCACTAATCCCAACATAAAGGAACTGGTTTGCTCTTTTATTGTAATTTGTTGTGGAGTTCCTTTACAAAGGAGCCCTTCTTCCAGCATAACATTTAAGTGATATTTAAGTGATGTGCTTGTTTTTATAATATAGTCATTACAGATGTTCAGAAAGAGACTTCATTGACACAATGATGGAATGGAGTGATACGCATTTATAGAATAAATAGTAAATAAATAAATAAATAAAATAGTGCTTCCTGAGAGCACTAGTCAGTGGGAATACATAGTCCCTCGTTATTCCATATACTTAGCCTTAGAATCATGCTGGGCCAACAAGTGTGAGAGCCTTCATTTGAGAAATCGCTTCTCAGTGAACAAATTTCTATTCCAAGATGTCTTTATTTCCTAAGAAATTATGCTTGTAATAAAGGCATCAGATTTGGTATGTAAGAAAAAGTTAGCAGTGAGAGCTGATGGTTACATTCTGAGGGGACTACTTGAGGCCAAACACTTTCTGAAAATCTAGGTTATTTGTCCCATCTAGGGCCTGACTTTGATCGAGATTTGCACATGTTGGAAAATCAGTGGAATATATTTAATTTTCAAGTGATACAGAGTGAACTGAGGTTCGAAGAGTCTAGCTGAAGTCTCACGTGTTGCTGCCTGCAGTTAAGCATTGAATATGTTAGTATGCCTCTGCTAGCATAAACAGAAGATAAATCCTTCTCCAACCTGGTTTGTAGACCATCATCTTTCTAGGTGAGGAGAGGAGGAGTTAGGAACAAGACTGGTAGGCTTCACTATTGTGTTAAATTTTCCTCAAAATGAAAACGTATATACCTGTATTACAATGGTTATTTCCCACCTTTGAGAAATTAAGCCTCTGGCAAGTAAACTTTTGATCTACATCTATTCAGGCTTCACAAATGTATGTGCTCGCTCTCTACTAGGGACTTTTGGAAGGCTTGATTTAGTTTTTACAGCTTCTGTATTTTAAAAATAAAACTGTCACATGCCTGCAACTTTATCCACATGTATCCCCTCTGCTGTTATCAAAGAGGGCTTTCAGCAAAAACATATTTATATTCTGTAACAAATGTTTCTATAAGAAATCTTTCACCTTAATTTGAGGAGTTTTAAAAGCATTTTTATAAGGTGCACTCCAAATGTACTTTTTGGGTTTTTTTCTGGGGATGAGACATGGAACAATATTGCTTTTGCTAAATACTAGTATTGTAAGGTAAATTCTGCTCAGAAGGTCTACAGTCACCAAAATTAAGACAGTCTGCCTTAGAGAGTATCCTACCATAGCATCCTGCTCAACATCCTAAAATAAAACCTGAAGTTCAGGGCTGTTCCTGAACTGTGGCTGTTCTTCCTGTTGCCCCTAAATATACTGACCAACAGTGCTCACAAAGTGTGTTGGCATGAAGTAACTTAGATAAGGAGCTTTTACTGTGAAATTAGTTATTTTAAGCTTCTTAGTCTTTTCTTGTGTGCTGAATCAAATCTTTATGCTACCTTTCAGGTAGAAGTGGTGGTGGTGTTTAACGCTGTCATGGGTGTCTTGAAATGGTGTAGTTTCTGATGGTCATGTGGAAAAACATCCCATGAACAGATGGGAAATTGGCACCCACATATTCAGATTGCAAACTGAAAAAGAGAAACTCAATCATCTAAGCTTGCAAGGGCCAACCAGTGTCCTTAGGAGTAAAATTTCTCCAACTGGCTTTCATGTTTTGAAGCCAAGTATTTATTCAGCAAAAAGAAATCACTAAAGTAAAAGACTTCCTGCATTTTATCTTCTTTTCTTTTTTGTGCTGTTTTTCCTCACCTCCCCAGAAGAAGAATATTGTTGAAACTGCTTTCACAAAAACGCTCTGTAGATGTTGGCCAACCTAGCTGAAATTACTGTCTGGAATCTCAAGTGTGGAAAAAGTGTAAGGCAGCATAGAGTAGTCCCATGCTATTTTTGTCCCATCTTGTTTGGGAAGGTGTTGGAGAGATGCTTCATGAGGCCAGTGCTCTTTTTAGGACTGCAAAGCGGTAGTAGAATCTCTGGAACTTCAGCTAACACGTAGCGAGAGGGTGTTGAGCTAACGCTGCTGGGAGTTCTTTGGATGTTCCACATTTCTTGTATGTGGATGACTTCTAGTCAAGTTTCCTTTTTGGGGGAAAAAAGAAAGAAGACTTTAGTATATGAAGCCATGCTTTAGAGCTTTACTAAAGCTGTGTAAAAGACCTGTTCTCTGATGATGATTTTAGGGACTGTATAAATTGGTGACTAGGGAAGAAAAATGATCAGGATTTGGATGGAATGTGGTTTTATTAACTGTGAGCTGTGGAGGCATTTGACCTGTCTGAAGTGGCAGAACAATTATGGGTTTTGTTTTGACCATTTTATGTATGTATAGCCGACAGATGGAACACAAAAACTCTAATAGTCAGAGGAACAAACTCAAACAGAAGTAGATGTTGTAGAGGTGAGAGCAGCAAAGTATTTATGAGAAATCATTTCCTTTGGTGTGAATGTGAGATGAAGGCTGGTTTCATATGGATAAGTTCTCTGTTTAATACAGTTCCACTGCTAACACAGCTTGAGTAGGCGGGATAGCAGCTGGAACTGCTCATGCATTGAGAGAAGAGTCTATGAAAACACATTGTAAGCGCTCATCTTTGTTTTGGTGTTGCTTCAGGATGCAAATTTTGCATTGCCCCAGTCCAGTTCCCATCCGTCTCCAGAGATCTGTGCATGGAGCTTGCTGATGTTCAGTGACTATCTTGCTCTGTCAACCAACTGGTCACTAGTGTAGGCTTCAATCTGTTTTGCTTCAGATGCTGAAACTTGGCATGGAAGAGGTGTCCCTCAGGTTAGCACTGTTAAGTAGCTGCATACTTAGCTACTCTGCACTGCTAGTTGCATCAAATGTGTACGTATTGGATTTTTTTCATGGCATGATTACAATCTGAGCTAACCTGGCTTGAGAAATTGAAGTGGATAGCTTGAATCTGCTTTCTATTAAAATGTAGACTAAAGGAGGTGTTTTGGAGAGTGGCTCAGTTGATTTCTTTCCCCTGTTAATCACCCATTCTCTGTAGGGACTCACCTGTAGCCTCAGATGCTATATTCTCACCTTGTTCATGTGCTTCTCTGAGTAGTCACGGTCAGAATACATTCATTCTTGCTGATCCAAGCCATTTTACCTGGAGTCCTAGTGGCTTTTTAGCACGTAAGGTTGATATGAAAGCCAATGTCAATAGTATCTGTCTGTATCTATGAGGTATGAGCACTGGTATTGACTACACCAAACTTGCTAGATATGTGTCAGATCAGCTGAAACCCTGACTTAGCTATACATGTAACGTCTTGCAGTAAAGGAAAGGGAGAGAAGGTGCACCTGACCTTTAAAAGGTTGATGTTTCAATAATATTTATCTGCTAAGTATCTAGAGCGATGAATTCTGGTAGGGGAAAAAGCCTGATAGATTTACTTCTGCAATGGTGTGGAACTGTGTCTACTAGACACTCCTGAATCATCAGGCGTTTCTATCTAGGGCTGATTTAGCAGGCTTGTTTTAGCTTTTGATCCCTGTGCCAAGGCAATGACATGGAGGGGGTGTGTAGAGGTTTGTTAGGCACACCCCCCCCACACACACACAGTCCACTGCATCCTTTGACAGCCTTAATGGTTTCTCTTCCTGGTGGTAAGAAGTCATACCACGCTTGTTTATGTTGCACTCACTGTTCCAGTGTGGCTTGCAAACATCACTGATAACTGAGCACATATGTGTATATTTACAGGGATTACTTCATCTATCATGCCTCCTGTTGGTTCACAACTATTTTGTGAACGGTGACAGCTGTCTGCTAGCACATAACACCACCAAACAGTTTAGGGGGAGAGAAGGAAAGTATGTCCAATTAATACTACAAGGGAAAATTAGCAAAGTAGAAAGTGATTATCCATGCAGGACTATCAGGAGGGTACACGGTAATTTGCACTCCAACTATGAGTCACTGGAATTCTGGGGATTTACTCAATATAAGGAAGTGAAGTAAGGAATAGGGGATGCTGTTTCTCTTTAAACATAATCGGTCCCCAACCTTTGTGTAGACCGGGTAAGCAGTAATTCCACACTACCTGGTTTTGAAAGGGATTACTACATCGTGTAAGTTTGACCTCAGCTAATCAAAATACAACTTGCCCAGTTTATACTAGATCTTCAAAACTGCTAGGATGCATAGCAGATTCTAGCTTAGCCTGGCAGTACCTGGAGGGGAGGACTCCTTGGTGTTTACATCTATGTGCCTAATGCACTTTTGACAATGCAAGCTTAATAAACTAGGAAAACAAGAGGAAAATGCTTGTTGCCCAACAAAAGCTATTTCAAGCCTCTTTATTTGACTGTTTCTTCTCATTCTAAAGCATTTTGGCAAGTTTCTGTGAGTTTCTGAAACTTAGTAGCTTATAAACTGTATAATCTTTTGTTGTCTCAGTTTCAGAATTGAGAAAACTGTTTGAACCAAACCACCAAGATTTTTTGGAAATGAAAAGGTAAAAAAAAAAAAAGTCTTCGGCCTGTAAAACAAAACACACAGCTTGTTTTGTTACCTCCTCTTAGAAACTCTCCCCTCAAATCTTCCAAGATGCCTGATTTCACATTTTTCACATCTTTTTTCAGAAAAGAGAGAATAGCTAGACGCTTAGAGGGAATTGAAAATGATACACAGCCTATGCTTCTACAAAACTGCCCAGGATCAGTCACACACCGTTTACTAGAGGAAGATACACCAAGATATATGCGTGCAACAGATCCATACAGTCCCCACTTAGGTAAGTAGTATATATCAGTCAATCTTGCATTGCTGAATTACTTCAGATTTACTATCCTATCATTTGTGCAGTACAGGGAGAAGAGTTTTATGGAAGAGCTGTGGTCAGGGAGTTTTTTTAACTTGCCTTTTAATTCTCCAGTTGTCTTCTTTGAAAAAAGTTGATTATCCATATTGTTTTAAAACAACAATAATTTGATATGAGACTTTAAAGACTTATACACATTTCTTAATCATTTATATGTGCTTTTGGAGACATAAGTGCAAAAATGTAATGTGTCTGTGCAGTCACTAGTACACTTTCATTTTTAAGAAAGTAGGAAGCTTTCAGTTCACTCAATGTGAATGGTGGGTAGGGTACTTAGAGTTTTGGGATGGACTTGCTCATATATGTTGTACTTTTGACAGGAAGATCAAATGAAGAGGAGGAAACTTCAGATTCTTCTGTAGAAAAACAACCCAGATCATCCAGATACCGAGCAGAAATCACAGGAGGTAATACAGAGCCCTTGTATAGCACAGGAAACATGGATGTCCAGGAACTGGAGTCAAAAGCAGAAAGAATAGCTAGGTACAAGGCAGAGAGGCGGCGCCAGCTGGCAGAAAAATATGGATTATCTCTTGATTCTGATTTGGATTCTGACTACTCATCCAGATATACACGGGCAAGGAAAGATCCTGACAGCATGGAAAGAAAGGGAGTGAAAAGTGAAAGGCAAGATGATGAAAACAAGGACTGTGGCTCCCTGTATTTGTCCAGGACTGAGACAAAGGAGTCAAAGAGTGTGATTTCTGAATCCAAAGAGTACTCTAGCCATGAAAAAGATGGTGTTCCAGATAAAGAAGACCTCTTAAATGAAAAAAGTGATAGAAAAGCAGATGAGGACAGTGCCATTAGACAGGCTTCTGACCCTTCAGCAACCTTGGATAGTTCTGTCTCCCTTTCACTTTCTGGACGAGAATCTTCCTCCTATAACAAAGTGCCAATATCACCAAAGCAAACCCCCAGAGAGTCCCTTTCTTCACCAAAGCGGGCAGCCTCACCAATCCATTTGCAGAATGACCAGCCCTTGCACAGTAACATCAGACAAAGGTAAGCATAATTTTTATTTGTTTGTTTATACAGTAGATTCCTTTATGTTACCTTCTGCAGCAGTGTCTACAGTATTTATGAGAATGTATTTAATGTATTTATTACCCTTGAAGAAAGTATTTAGTGGCTTTGGATGTCTCAGGCTGGCTTGGTTGGGTTGATTGAATCACAGTGTATTTCTGATGCAAGGAAGTGGCTATCTATTTCTATGATTAGCTATGTCCTTGGTTTCACTTTATATTTATAGAATTTATGCTAAAAATATGCCTTTTACAGGGGGGAGTGGAATAACTGATGTTTAAGATATTTACACAAATTAGAAATTGAAGCAGTTGTGGTTCTAAATCTGCCTCTTTTTTTTCATAACCTGTTGGGGCAAGCCTTTAACTTTTTTTCCTCTATATCCTGTGCTTGTTTGGGTAGGGGTTTCCAAGTAAAAGCAAGTTGTTTCTCTGTGAAGATTTTAATAACTTCATGACAGCTTCTCCCAAAATAAAACAGGCCTCAGAGTTAAAAGCTGAAAATCGTCTTGTGTCAGTTGAAATAATAGTTGATTTGTTCTCCTGCTGTGAAAGTGAAAAAACCCTTTTGAACTGTGATAGTTATTCTTGCAGATAATATTGGGGTATGTGTGTGAAGTGGCAGAGGGGAAAGTTAAAATTCCATGCTGAATTTGGAGAATGTAACCTCCCTTGTGGTGTGCTGATTTACTTCAGATTTGACAAATTTACTCCAGTAATAGGGTAACCAGATTCTTCCAGAAGGAAAAAAAAAATTAGTTTTCACTAATTTCACATTGTAGTTTCACACTGTAGTGCAAAAAACTGACTGTCAAAATGTTATGGTGACACACAGTATGTGACTAAGATTTTTTTAAAAGTATGATTTTCTCTAAGTGTGATTCTTTAATTTCTAGGGAGGTGGACAAATGGAAAACAATAACTATAAAAACTTAAGTTGCAGCTAAAAATTACATAAATCATAATGAGAACTTAATTGTAAACATATCTGTATCATGCTGAGCAGTGCTGCCTGGAAAAAACTGAAACAAACAGGCATAAACTGAACTGTTTACACTTTGTGGCATTTTTTGCAGTAGGTTCAGAAACAAACTACCTATAAAGGACTTTTTTATCATAGAATCATAGAATGGTTTGGGTTGGAAGGGACCTTAAAGATCATCTGGTTCCAACCCTCCTGCTGCGGGTAGGGACACCCTCCACTAGACCACAAAGCCTCATCCAACCTGGTCTTAAACACTTGCAGGGATGGGGCATATCCTTCCCACCAAATCACAAAACTTGATTCTTATTTGTTGTGGCCTTTCTTATTAACTCATGTAAACATACCTTAAAGTTTGAATGAGGAAGTAGTCTTCCATGTCAAAGGTTAACCACCTGGTAGATTGATTAAATAATCTATTTACAGTGCCTGTAAACTGTTCAGGTGCACTTAGCCTTCTTTTTTTCCACTTTATTTCACTTTGTTTCACTTTATTACATAGGACACACTAGTAGTAGTCTTTTAATATTTTTTTCATGGCTTTTCATTATTCAGGTGACTTCAATCCTGTTCACGATCTTTTGCATAGATATGTGGCTATATGAGCTATCATTGGACTCTCCCAATTAAGCCAAAATTTTAAATATTGGCATTTCAAAAAAGCCACTAGAGGGAAAGTAACTCAACATAGTTAGGAAGTACTATCTTATATTTAGTTTATGTTTTAAGCTTACAATTCTGCTACTACAGTAAGGAAAACAGTCATTGCAGAGTCATCCATACAACTGAGACCAGAGTTGTATTGAAATTCCTTGAGCTGACTAGGTTAGTCCAGGCTCCAAAAAACTTGTCTCTGAAGCAGTCTCAACTCAAATATTACAAAATATTATCCCTTATCTTCAAATGGTCAATTTGACATAAATCTCTTGCCTGATCCAATTACTGATAGGAAGGGATATTGAAGCAATGGAGCCTTGACAGGTTGTTTTCTTTGTTTTATAAGGTAAAGGAAGGGACAAAATTTTCAGCCTTAGGAAAGCAAAGAGAATAGCCCATCAAACTTCATAGCCAAGAATGTGTCTGCTACAGTGTAAAAAGGGGTTTTATTTTCTTTACTCTCATAAAGCAATCCTAGTCCCTGTTTCTGTGAGGGGAAACCAATGAAACACTGAACAATGAAATGCCTTCTAGGTTATCTCTTCCAACTCAGGAGAAGCTGCGCTGCACACAGCGCTGGTGGGATGGCAGTTGCCTTGGTGAAACAGCATACTGGCTGTAGAGAGACACCTGAATCCACTCATTCACAGATTAGCCTTTAACGTGGAGAAATCAGGTCTCCTTATAAAGTTCTTTCAGTTTTAGCTAACAAATGTGTTTTTTCTAATGCCGCTCTACAAACCAGTTACAAGTTCAGACTGAGCAGGCTGAAGGCATTATCAAATCATTCACAAATTCCAGCTGCTTCTTTTTTAAAGCTGCCACTTCTGGCATTACCTGGGGTTTTTTTGGGGTTTTTTTGGTTTTTTTT